GGGGGGGTTACCCAAATAATTTTTTCTCCCTCCACCTATGCTCTCCAGCCTGCTCCCTACCTGATTTGGGGTAGGTGATGTTGAAGACATCATCGTCCCGCACCTGGAACTGGTTCTCTATGTAGTCTAGGGTCTCGGGAGAGTAATCCTGGCTGGGGAAGAGGACACCCTTGTAGGTGAAGTACTGAGTCGCCATTGTGCCCTGAGATGCAGAGACGGGGCCCCAGGGCCTGACTGGCACAGTGAGTGCTGTGCTGCAGGGCTCTGGGCAGGGCTTTGTGGGGTGGGCTGTGCTGTGTACAGGGGCAGGATGGACGGAGGAGTGTAGTCCTGGGGCCCTGTTGGGTTGGGGCGGGGGGCGGCAGTCTATGCTGGCCCTGCCCTGTCCCCAGCCTGGAGCCGCCCAGTGCCACTCAAAGGGTGACTACACAGCCACGGAGTGGACTTTGCCCTGGGGAAGCGAGGGGATTCAGCCCTCACCTTTGGACCCTGCGCAGAGCAAACAACCGCCAGGGCCTGAGGCAAGCATCACTGACAGTGGCCTGGGGCTGGGCTGGACCATGAGCAGGGGAAACATCTCCCTCACAGTCCTAGGGTCATCAGAAGTGCTCTGGCTGGTTCCCTGTCCCTGTGTCCCCATCCTGCTGTTTCAGGGGCAGAACAGCAGTCACCCGCTGCAGCCCCTGGCCCCATCCCCATTCCCATTCCCATCTCCATCCCCATCCCCTGCTCTGCCTGGGGCTCCCTGCAGTGGGGGTTCACACCTGGAGGTCAGACTTCTCCATCCCCCCGTCCACCTCCCAGCCAGCAGTCCCCAGCCACAGCCTGGGACCTCACCTCTGTTGGGTCCCAGCTCTGTATATCCGGCTTTTCACTCCCAGATGGCTGGGGCAGGGCAGGATTTCAGGGGGGAGTGCTGGGAGCAGCAGGGAGATGCCCCAGTCCTATCACCCTATTCCAGCAGAAAGTTATTTCCAGAAAGTTTGACTGTCAGCATTGCAACCAGATGGGCCCAGTCATCTGGGTCCTGCTTTTTTAAATATGTATTTTAAATTGAAACCAGCGATGACTTCCCTTGATCTTTACAGGTAAGAAATGCTCAACATTGGAAAACACATTCATTTTCCATACAAAGACATACCACTAGAGATAGGCATGATCAGCCTCAGTGTGGCATTTTGATATGAAGTAGATTTTCATTAGATTTTGTTTTATTTTAAATATGATTATTTTATGATTTATTAATTGTGTTGGTCCCATAGTCATGGTAGTTAAATGCACATCACTCATAAAACAGAGTCCAACCTCCTTGAACATCTTCAGAGTGCAAACAGCACTTTTAAGCCCATCATTTCCAAGCCGAAGTTAATGATCAGCTGAGTCAACATGAGCACATACCTGAGATAAGGATTTTAGGTAGAAGTAAAAGCCATCTGCAGGCTGGCACATAGGAGGGGGAGATGAAAGGGAATGGCTGGCAGAGCAATGCTGCAGAAGAAAGGGAAGCTTGATTAATACAACACTGAGACTATTAAAAAGGAGAGAGGGTCATTAATCCCTGGGAAGGGAAGAAACATCACCAGGAATCAGGTAGATGCTAATGAAAATATTTGACTTCATTAACAGACCATTGGTTTCACAGCAGGTGTCAAAGAGGGGCACGACTGCATCTCTCTGCTCTGGATCTGCCCTGTCCATGTGGTTTGGATTATAGAAACGGTTAGGACTGGGCACTGCCCTTGTTCCCCATCCCAATGTACAGACGTTCAAGTGCGTCGTGTTGTCCGGAGTTCCCCTTCCTGGTCCTGAACAGGAATCCTCCCCGGGGACCCCGAAGTTAGAGTCCAGCAGCCCAGGCCCAGCTCCCGCACAGCACAAGGTTGCATAGCCTCCACATGTGGGAGCTAGCAGTAAGGCAGGTCCCTCACCTGAACACCAGAGTTAACAGAGATAGGGTGACCCCTGGCTGCAGAGTCCCAGAACAGAGGGCCTTGTGCAAGCCCTGCTCCAGGCAGCTTCAGCCCTGTGTGAGCCAGCCAGGGCCAGGAGTTGTCTCCGTGCAGTCGCAAGACAGCCTCTGGCTCCAGGCTTATGTGTGATTTATCTGCTTCAGGGAACAGGTGGCTGTTGCCTGTTTGCTTGGCCTGTGGGCCCTGTGCCAGGGACTGCACTGGGGGATGTTGGCTGGTGACCACCCTGTCTGGGGAGGCAGTGCCCAGCTGGCCAGAGTCCAGGTCGAGGAGCTCCATGGTGCTAGGATTGTGCAGGCAGCTGCACAGCACGTGGAAGGACCAGGTTGGGTGTTGGGGATCATGGGGCTGGGGGAGTCATGAAATAGCTGCGTGCCTGTCCTGGCACAGACCCTCTGCCCTAGCCACAGACCCCATGCACTTTCCCTCCTCCCTCGCACTCTCCCTCCCAGCAGGAGCTCCCAGCTGCATGGCAGTGCCAAGAGGAAACTCCTGGCCTCTTCCCCCTCTCTCTACTTGGCCCCAGGCTGCTCCAGGAAGCTGGGATCCGGCACCGGGCACCCCTCCCTCATTGCCAGCTGTTTATCCCGTCTCAGCTCCTATATGAGCTCCTGGGCACCTGTCCCAGCCTGCCAGATGCCTGGGGCAGGTAAGTGAACAGCTTTCCTTCCCGCAGGGCTTAGGGGACTCCCTTTACCTGCTGTGCGCAGAGGAGACAGCATCCTTGAGGTGGGAACAGTCCTTGCAAGCTCACCCCCTGCTGACTCTGCACCCCGTCTTCCGGGCACGGGGCCCAGGGGTTATGACCCTGCCCTCCCTTCAACTGCAAGGTAATGTAGGTGTCCCCATGTCCTGGCACCGTATTGCCACCCCTGGCCCCTCTCTGAAGAATGACCCCTCTCCTGGTCCTTCCTTTTGCAGCCATGGCACTGGGAATGAGGATGCTTCTGCTGGTGCTGTTCTGGGCCGGACTGGTGCCGTGCAGTGAGTTTGAATGGAGCCGGGTCTGGGTGGACTCAAAGTGGGGCAGGACTGGTGCGAGGAGCTGGGGGAGCCTTAGCCAAGGTAGCAGAGGGTAGGGGGCTGGGAACACAGGGCTGGAAGGTCCCTGCTGGACTACAGACCAGTGTCCTGTGTTCAAAGGCAACTCCTTACAAAGGGACTCCCCAAATCCCTCGTCACACCCCCACCCCCAGAGACAGACACCAACGACACCCAGGACCATGCCATGGCTAAAAGCAGGGGACATGGGGGCACTGCCCATGGGATTACCAGACCCCAACCACCCTGCTCTAGACTCACCTCCATGCCCAGCATGGGGGCAGCAGTAGGGCTGAGCCAGGGCTCGATGTTGTGGCCTTTATCGTTTGTACAAGGAGACCCAGCCCCAGCTTGAAGCCCTTCCATTGTTTTGCTTAGAGAAACATTGTCTTCTCTGAGAGTTATACGTTTCATTTCCAAACCGAAATTGTGCAAAGCCGTTTGGTGGGGAGGTGCACCAGCAGAGCTGCTGCGAGGGAGGTTGAGGCTGGGGTAGGTTGGGAACAGCGGCCACGAGCAGAGCTGGGGCACCCCAGTGCTGGGAGGTTGGGAGCAAAGGGCGCTGGCGCCACTGGGTGTGCAAGGGGGCCATGGGTGGAGAGCGAGGCATGCCAGAAGAGTCATGGGGGTGGGGGCTTTTATAAATGCTCCACCCATCTCTACCCCACAGCTGGCTCAGACCCCAGCCCCATGGGGAAGCAGTTCCTTACTGCCTTCCCAGAGATGCAGTGCTCTCAGAGCTCCAGGGCCCGGGTCAGCCTCCAGCTGCTTGTCACTGGCTTCGCCCCTTCCACCACGGTCACTGTCACAGTGAAAGGAATGGCTTTTCAGAAGGTCCTCACCCTCCACCAGGACGAGACCCAGACCATCGAGCTTCCGGACTCCACGGAGATGGTGGGGACAGGCTTCTTCGACAGAACGGTTGTGGTGGTCGCTGACCATATGGTCTCTGTCCTCTCTGTGAGCTCGGAAGACCAGTCCTCTGAAAGCACGGTGCTGTACCCTATGGAGAGCTTGGGCCAGAAGTACTATGTGGTCACCCCCACATCTGAAGAGAAAGCGCCAGATTCCTGGCTGCAGTTCACTGTTGTGGCCGGGCCTGAAGTCACCACAGTGGAGATCCACCCCAAGGGCCCGGTGAAGATCTACGGGACTACCTACAACTCGTGGAACACGCTGGACATCGACCTCCTACCCTACAAGGCCATTCAGCTGCAAAGTCAGGCCGACTTGTCCGGCTCGGTGGTCCTCTCCTCGCGGCCCGTGGCGGTCCTGTCTGGACATGGCTGTGTGAAGTCAGGCAACACGCAGAGTCATGTCATCGAGCAGCTTCTGCCTGTCTCCAGCTGGGGCTTCTCCTTCATCCTGCCCCCAGTGGGGAGCAGCGAGGCAAAGCTTAACCAAGTCTATGTTGCAGCATCCCAGCCCACTGCCATCACTCACTGGAGCGGGAAAGTCCCTGGGACCCAGAATGTGGCAGCCGGGGAGGTGGCCAAGCTGGCCGTTGGAGGGTCCACAGCACTTTCCATCACAGCCAACGCCAGTGTCCAGGTCCTCTACTGTTCTCTGGGGGGCATGAAGGACCACGTCACCTTTTCCCCATTCCTCACCAATGTCCCACCCATCATGAGCTTCTGCTCATCCTTCCACAACACTGGGCTGGCAGGGTTCACCAACTACGTGGCCCTGGTGGCCAAGACAAAGGATGTATGGGCCATCACACTGGATAAGGGGCTTCTGGGATCCACCCGGTGGCACACAATCCAGGAGTCGGATTATCTCTGGGGCACCTACAGCCTGGGCAGGGATTTCAGCAGCCACAGCATAGAGCATCCCAGTGCAGCCTTCGGCATCCTCAGCTTTGGCATTACCCAGCTGGACTCGTACGGCTCGGTGGGCGTCTGCACTGATGGTGAGGCCATGTGGCGCGGGGTGGCTTTGAGGCCCTATTGGAAGGGAGGTGCTGGTGTTATGGGGTTAGGAATGACTTGACAAGGCTGGTGCAGTCCCAGAGAGGCAGGACTAGCACTCCTAGCCCACTCCAGCCAGGTGCCCATGCACTGATGGAGATGCCCCCCACCCATATGCTTCCACTGCCTACAGCTCTTACCATGAGGAGGCTTCTTCTGGAATTAAATCCAAACCCATTTTGTGTCACTGAAGCTCATTGCCAAATGTCCTTGGGGCTCTGCCCAGTGCAGGCTGGTTCCTGCCCCTGTGGGAAAATGCGGGTGAACTTCCCTATATGGACACGGTGATGCAGGCCAGCCACGGCATTGGGCTTCCTGGTTCTAACACTCCAGGCACCTTTCTTTTCCCCCCTTAAATCCCCACTTCCTGAAGTCATGAGAGTTATGTGACAACCTTGCCTTTCATTGAAAAAAGCAAAGGATGTTTTTGGCTCTGGCCAGGATGTCACAACCCTCCACGTCTCTGGCAGCTGGGAGCGTCAGTGCTTCTCTCATTTCTAGAGATGATACGACCTGAAGCCAGGCCTGAGATTTCAAGATAGGTGGAAGGGGGAATTTTGGCTATGGCGGGGGGGCTATGCCAACCTGGTGCTGTCAGCTGGCAGCAATAGCTGCTGCCACGTTTCACAGAATCACAGAAGCACGGAGAATGGGGCAAGGGTGACTGGTGCCGCCTGAATCTGGGGGGGCACCTGCAGAAGCTGCTGCCGGCACCAGCAGTGCGGATGGGGCTGGCGAGCACCCGGAGAAGCCAGTGGCGGTGGTGGGGGCAGGGCTGGTAAGCACTCGCAGAACCTGCTGATAGCATGGCAGCGGCGGCCCTGCCAGGGGGGGCACCGGCCCTGCTGACGGCATCAGCGGCAGCCATGGGGGGGGGGAACGGGACCAGCCCTGTCAAGGAGGCACATGCACCCCCACACACCCCCTACTAGTCACCTATGGGATAGGGCTAGAAGGGACCTCAGGAGGTCACATCTACTCCAACCCCCTGCTCCAAGCAGGACCAGCCCCAACTACATCATCCCAGCCAGGGCTTTGTCTAGCCAGGTCTTAAACACCTCCAAAGATGGAGACTCCACCACCCCTCTGGGTAACCTGTTCCAGTGCTTCACCAACCTCCTCATGAGAAAGATTTCCTAATATCCAACCCAAACCTCCCTTGCTGCAACTTGAGCCCATTGCTCCTTGTTCTGTCATCTGCCGCCACTGAGAAGAGGAAATGAGAGCTGGCTGCCCCTTTCCCCAGGCTTTTCTTTGAATAGGCTCCAGGGGAAACCACCCCCATGTTCCAGCTCCCTGCTCTCACCAACAGCTCGATTGCATATTTCTATCAACAATCACCTGTAGTTTCCTGCCTCATCCAAACCAGGATGGCAGAGATTTCTACAGCTTGCCTCAGTGAGGGTCAAGTGTGAACCCCTGTCTCTTCACCCATCTTACACCTTGCTCTTTCCATCCATCCAAAGCCATACCCTCCCTCCCTTTCTTCCTTCCTCCCATCTATCTATCTATCTGCATCCCCATCCATCCATCCATCCATCTTGTACTCACCCTTCCATCAAGCTGCTTAATCAGGATCCTCATTTCCACCAGTATGTTGAGCTAGTGGTTTTGACATTTGCCTCCATAGCTTCTAATCTGGTGGCACCAGTGACTTCCAACTTCCATCTTCTGTTTCTATCGAGTCCATCCTCACAACCCAGTGCTAGCTAGGGTTACCTCCATACAGTCCTACCTCATACTGTTTAGACCTATGACTACTTGGGTTGCCCTTCCCAACAGGACTGGGCACCATAGGGGCAGGATGGTGCCTGGTGGGGAGGTGCAGGGGGTGCAATGTCACAGGGGATCTCTCTGCCCTCTGAACTATTTCCCTTTCCAATGCTGTTTTCCCAGCCTTCCACAAACCCTCCTGTGACACGGTGCAGTGCAGGAAGAAGGAGAAGTGCCAGGTGGTGAATGGTGCTGCAGTGTGCGTGGCAGAGTCCACAGCCAGCTGCTCGCTTTCGGGAGACCCTCACTATCAGACCTTTGATGGGCACTATTACGACTTTATGGGCACCTGCACCTACACCATCGTAAAGACCTGCACTGCAGACAGGGCTCTTCCGTCCTTCACGGTCGAGGTGAAGAATGAGAACAGGGGAAACCCACACGTCTCCTATGTGGGCTATGTCACTGTCCGGGTCTACAACTTCACCATCTCGGCGGTCCGCTATGAGACTGGGTTTGTACGGGTGAGTCTGGCATGGCTGTAAACGAGAAGGAGTAAGTGGGGTGTCAGCCTTACCTGGCATATTCCACCCCCAGCATCCTTACTGTGCTTTGCTGAAGGCAGCTGACCTTAGCCACATGCAGCGGGTCCTTCATGGGGCAGACCCTGGCTCCACATCCACTGCTGTCACCCCTAGGCCCCACTTCCCTCTGGGCTACAACCCGGGCTTCCTGCTTCCCTGTTTAAATCAGCCCCAGGGGCAGGTAATTATTTTGGGCGGAGGGCCACTTACTGAGTTTTGGCAAGCCATCGAGGACCGCACGACAGGCAGCCAGGGGCACAGAAATATTAATTTTCTAAATTTTTAGGGGCCCCGCGGACCAGATAGAATGGCCTGGCGGGCCGCACACAACCCACAGGCCACATTTTGCCCACCCCTGAGCTAGACTCTGCTCCTCTTACAGACCTGGATCTACTTACAGACCTGGCACAGAACCCAGGGGTCCTGGAGCCCAGCCCAGAGCCGGGTTGATTTCAACCACTCAGATTAGATGAATTCAAGTCTCCTTTGGGCTGCCATTTCTTGAGGAGCCCCACACACAGCCCCCCTCTCTGGACTCTGGGCTCCCAGTCCCCTGCACAGCCCCTCTTTCTGGGCTCTAGACCCCCGGTCCCCACACAACCCCTCTCTGGGCTCCAGACCCCCAGTCCCCAACACAGCCCCTCTCTCCAGGCTGTCAGACCCCTGGTCTGGCTCACAGCGACTCCTGAACTCTGGTAGGCACTCAAGCCTTCCCTGGGCTTAACATAAACCAGGGCCACCCACCCATACAACTAAGTCCCTCTCTGCCCCAGGTATCTTCCCTCGCTCCCTGCATTGCAGAGGGGCTTTCTGCCACTATTCAGGAGCTCTGCTTCTAAAAGCTCCCCACTTCATGGCTCCCAAGGCCTGACAGCTCAGGCTCAGGCTCAGGCCTTATATAGCTGCAGCCGGGTTAGGTGAGTCCTTAATTACCACCCTCCCCACCCCACCTGCAAGCAGCCTCCCAGACTGTCTCCCCACTTAAAGGAGCAGGCACATTCCAGTACCCTGATACACTGATCTATTAGGATTTATTGTGGTGGTATATTGCTGGTTGCTGGTTGTATATCGCATTGAAGCAGCTTGCTGGGATTCCTGCCCCTGCATGGGGAGGAAAACTGCAGACAAACTGCAGCAAAGATGCATTCAAAACATCACCCTGTGCACTGCATTTCTTGCAAAGAGTGCAGGGAAAAAGCAATGGTTGGGGAACCAAAAAGGCTGCCATTGAAAACCAAAATGAAATTGTTGAGAGGAAACAGGACGTTTCCTTTGCTTTGGTCTCGGAAGTTTCTTCTTAAGCAGCAGAAAGGTTTAGCATGAGGAAAATGTCGGTTGAACCTGGTTCCCTTCGGTAACTGGATGGTACAAGCTGCCACGTGTTGAACTGGCAATGTCTGGCTGCCTGCGGCTGGTGCCAGATGCGTGTTGTGATGCTGGCTGGTACCTCTGGGCTGTGGCCCATTGCCCTGCAGGCACCACCATCCTTCATGTGCACTGACAGAGCCTGTTTTCCTTTTCATCCCAGGTGAACAACCAGCGCTCTCGCTTGCCCATCACCCTACACAATGGCAAGCTCAGGGCTTACCAGAGCGGGACTTCCCTGTTCATCAAGACCGACTTCTCCCTGATCGTCTATTTTGACTGGAACAGCTTCCTGGGCGTGAAGCTGTCCAGCAGCTTTGCGGAGAGCGTGTGCGGCCTCTGTGGGAACTTCAATGGGGACCCCCAGGATGACTTTGCCACCCCAGCTGGCGTCTTGGCTCCTGACCCCGTGGAGTTCGGGAAGAGCTGGAAAGTTCCCGATGGGGATTGGTTCTGCTGGGATGACTGCCACGGGCCCTGCAAGAGCTGTCCCCCAGACGTGGCTGCCAAGTACCAGGCTGAGTCCTTCTGCAGCTGGCTTATGCAGGGGGTGGGTGGCCCTTTCAGCCAGTGCCATGCTGTGATTGACCCCCTGAGCTACTTGAAAAACTGTATCTACGATCTGTGCATGACCGATGGGAGCCAGGAGTCGCTGTGCCAGGCACTGAAGAGCTACGCCGAAGAGTGCCAGGCAGCGGGGGTTACTGTCACTGACTGGAGGACGCCTGCGGGCTGCTGTGAGTTGGACCCTAGGGAGGGGAATGCTGTAGGGTGCTCTGGGGGTGGAAGAGATGCTAGTGGGAACACCCTGCTCTGGGCTGGGGGATACAGGCGATGGGGGTTTCCTATCTCTAGGGCCCTGGATTGGTGCTCTCTGATGATTCAGGGATGTCCCTGGAGACACCTCTGCTGCAGAGCCCCCAGTGTAGCCTCAGTGGCTCCATACCCAGGTGTGTCCTGGTCCAGGAGCAGCATGCACTCGCCCTGACCCTGCTGTCTTGTCCCTCCCACAGCCTTGCCTTGCCCAGCCAACAGCCAGTACAAGCTGTGCGGCTCAGCCTGTCCCACCACCTGCAACGACCAGGCAGCCCCAACAAAATGCTCTTTGCCCTGCGTGGAGACCTGTGAGTGCCAGGATGGCTTTGTGCTGGATGCTGGGCAGTGCATTCCCCAGGCCGGCTGCGGCTGTGAGTTCGAGGGGCGCCTCTATGGCCCTGGCGAGCAGTTCTGGGGGGATGACGCCTGCAGCAGACACTGCGTCTGCGACCCCCAGACCCGGCGCGTGAACTGCCAGCAGGAGACTTGCCGACGTGGGGAGCAGTGTAGGGTGGAGAAGGGAATCCAAGGCTGCTACCCTGCCAACTACAGCACCTGCACATCCCTTGGGGACCCCCACTACACCAGCTTCGATGGCCACAGGTTTGACTTCCAGGGCAGCTGCCTGTACCAGCTTGTGGGGCTGTGCCAGGACAGCGGAGACCTGGTGGGTTTCCAGGTGCTGGTGCAGAATGACAACCGCGGCCTCGTGTCTGTGTCCTTCACCAAAGCAGTGGAGGTCAGAGTCTACGGGGTCAACATCGCCATCAGCCGTGAGCATCCGGGACGAGTCCTGGTGAGTTCCTGGGTGCGGGGGCTAAAGTGTCACAAACCTTACTTACTACAGTAAAAATATGAAGGTGTTCCTAATAGGTGCTCTTCACTCACCGTCTTTGTGAGCTCCATCTTGTCTCAAATGAGCCTTGTCTAGCGTCACAGCACTAACTGCATGGAGATGACCTGGCCACCTTGGCTCTTTCCAATCCACCTTCCTTTGGCTTTCTCAAGTAGCTCACGTCATTTCCTTCCCTCTTCTTCTCTTACCCAAACCTTAGTCAAGCAAACGCTGTGCCATATCACCCTGGAGCAACCCCAGACGTCCAGTAGTCCACACACCCCAGAAGCGGCTGCATTGCAGTGCTGGGACTTGTGGCCAGGAGGCTGCTAGATGTCAGTCTCTGACCCTTGGGCCTTTTCTCACAGGTGAATGGCTTGCTCACCAACCTGCCCTACAGCATTGAAGGGGCCAAACTTATCGTGGCCCGGAAGGGGCCGGAAGCTGCTATTCAGACTGACTTTGGCCTCACCGTCACCTTCGACTGGCAGAGCCGAGTGACAGTCACCATGCCCAGCACTTATGCAGGCACTGTGTGCGGCCTCTGTGGGAACTTCAACGGGGACAAGGCTGACGACCAGGCTATGAAGGATGGCAGAGCCACCATGAACCCCACAGCCTTTGGGCAGAGCTGGAAGGTGGCAGAGACCCCAGGGTGCGTGGAGCCCAGTGAGCCAGTGTGTTCTCCGCGTGCAGCCATCGAGAGGAAGCAGAGGAGAGAGAAGGTGGACTGTGGGCTGATCCTAGCAGACAACGGGCCCTTCAGGGCTTGTCACGCCAAGGTGAAACCCGAGGGCTATTTCCAGGACTGCGTGTATGACTACTGCTTCTTCCGTGGGAGGATGGGACCCATGTGCCAGATGATAGCCAGTTACGCAGCTGCTTGCCAGGCGGCTGGGGCAGCAGTGAGTGCTTGGAGGTCTGAGCAGTTCTGCAGTAAGTGGATTAATACCAAATGGCCTTCCCCCGGGTGTTGGGCTGTGCTGGTTGCCCCCTTTTTGCTCCATGTGTTGCGGGGTTTAAGTCTCCCCCAGAGGCACTGGGTACTGGCTGCAGTAGGGATGGGAACCGCGCTGTGCTAATGCTCCTGCTGGGACCAACCTTGCAGGGTGCTGGCTAGAGGGTCTTGCCTCTCTGTTCAGGGTCACACCAGTGCCAGATTTGGGGTCCAGAAGGCATTTTCCCCCCAGTCAGACTCATCCAGACTGGGAGACTTTGCCTTCCTCTGTAGTGGGTGCACAGCCTTGGCCTGGGGTCTCTGGAGCACCTATTAACAGCCTTTCACAGCAGCAGGACATTGCCGGCTGTGGCCTTGCTTCTTTCCCTGTGGCTGCCAGGTTCAGAGGTGATGTCTGGTGCTGCATCAGAGTTGATGGTCATTTTAGATGCTGGGTTTGTCTGGGCTGGTTTGGACATGGCAGACCCTGCCTCAGGCAGGGGTTGCACCAGATGTGACCTGCTCTGTGATGCTGCAGTCTTTGAAGCAGCTTAGAGAGCAGCAAGGCCTGGACCTGTGCTGGGGGAGGGGAGGGATGAGCTATGCAGATGATCAGGGGATAGCAAACCCCACACTCAAGGGGAAAGTTGGCTCACTGTGGCAGCAGAGCAGAGAGGGTGTCCTAGGAAGCAGCTGAGGGTGCTGACAGTCTGAGGGAGGGCCCAGGGCTTTGCGGACCTGCGATTGGGTTAGGGAAGGACAGCGGGTGGGAGTGTGGGGGTGCAGGGGAGTGGGTGTATTTATTGCAACGGGTGTGCAGTTTCTTAATATGGTTTTAGGTGTGTGATGCAAAGTTTTATGCTAGATGATGTGTGTGTGTGTATCTCAATAGATATCTATATATCTATATCTATCTATATCTCTATAGATAGATAGATAGATAGATAGATATAGATGTATAAAATATATATATTTAAAAAAACAAAACAAAAAAAAAGCCAACCTTGAGATAGCCACTTTTCTGGCAGGGGTAGTACCTGCAGAGGTAATGTACAGTTACCCTCCCACTTTCATTTCTAGTGGGAATATCTTGGCTTTATGCCCACTTTATGGAAATGGGAGACTCCTCCCTAGCTTGCTCCTGCTGCTATATGGCTGAAGGCAAGCAAAACTTGGGGGCATCTGAACCCCAAGCCTCTGGGCTTGGGCCTGCACATATGATGCCCGCCAAATGATCTGGAAGCATCTGCAGCCCCAGGTGGGGTGGTGGATGTTTGCTGGTAGTAGGGCCACTGATGGTTCTTGAATGACTCACGGATTTGGAATTGATGTGGCTGATTTGGCTTGGAACACGAAAAATTGTCCTTAAAACCCCCCCAAAACCTTGGGGTTGGTCCAGACTAGCTCAGCCTGGGCTCCAGCTGCCCTGGGAGGAGCCGTGGAGGGTTCCCAGGATGTGAGAGGACAAGGTGAGTCTGGAGGGCAGCTGGGCGGGTGCTCATTCAAGTTCTCCTGCTTCCCCGGCAGGTCCCTCCTGCCCCCGGCACTCGCACTACGAGCTCTGTGGCAGCAGCTGCCCAGCTACCTGCCACAGTCTCCCCGCTGCGGCCACGTGTGCCGGCCCCTGCACCGAAGGGTGTTTCTGTGACGCCGGGTTCGTGCTGAGTGGGGACCAGTGTGTGCTGGCTGAGCAGTGTGGCTGCCTCCATGAGGGCCGCTACTACAGCCACGGGCAGGAGTTCTTCGTCGGCACCACGTGCCAGCAGTGGTGCCGCTGCGAGGGCGGCGGGGACGTCGTGTGCCGGCCAGCCTCCTGTGGTGCCGGTGAGGAGTGCCGCGTGGAGAGGGGCACCCTGGGTTGCTATTCGGTCCGCCACGGTGAGTGCACCATGGCTGGCAGCTCCCACTACCTCACCTTCGATGGCCGCACCTTTGACTTCCAGGGGTCCTGCACCTACACCTTGGCCCGTGTGTGCTACGGGAATGCCAGACTGGGGAACTTCTCTGTGGTGGTGCAGAACCAGAGCCCTGGAGATGGCCGCGTGGCCCTGGTTGGGTCGGTGCTGGTCTCTGTTCAGGGCTACACTGTCATCATGGAGCAGGGAAGACGGTGGACAGTCACGGTAAGTCCTTGCAGTGGGGCCGAAGTGGCTGGAGTTGTCCCTGGGTGGCCATCAGCACCCTGTCCCTGATATCCAGCAGTTGGAAAAAGAGGTGAGCTCTCCCCCAGCAGCACCAAAGCCCTGGCCTCTCCTACACCTTGTGGCTTGGCCCTCCATGCTGTCACAGAGAAGGTGCAGGGTGCAGCGGGAAGGGGGATGGGAACAGGAGACACCCCCAGCTCTATTTCAGTGTCCTCCCTTGGGCAGTGCCTGAGGCACATGCCATTCCTTCACGCTACTGATAGCCCAATCCCTGGGTAGTGACCTGTGCTGGCTGGAGGGTCTGCACTGTAACCTGGTGCTGCTTTCAGGGGTGCTGGGTGATGGTGAGTCCTTGTCTCAGGCCATGTCACAGCTGCCAGTGACTGGCACATTCCCCTCCCGTTGGCACAGGTGGACGGGGAGCTCCACACTCTACCGCTGGTGTCAGACAACGACGAGCTCTGGGCCAATCAGGAGGGGAACAACATCATCGTCCAGACAGCCTCTGGGCTCCATGTCCTGTACGACACCTCCTCCTATGTCCTGGTGACCATCCCCGGCACCTACCAGGGCCACGTGTGTGGCTTGTGTGGTAACTTCAATGACGACAAGAGCGACGACTTGCTGCTGCCCGACGGCACGAGTGCACGGAGCGTGGACGAGTTTGGGGCCTCATGGAAGGTGCCCAGGGATGGCGCTGCGTGCATCGATGGCTGCGGTGAGGGATGCCCCGTGTGCGATGATGCCCGGACAGCACCATACCGGGCTGAGGGCTCCTGTGGACTGATACAGGCTGCATCTGGGCCCTTCAGCCGCTGCCCCCCACTGGTCAGCCCTGCCGCCTACTTTGGCTACTGTCTCTATGACTTGTGTGCTGCTAACGGGGCACGGGAGACCCTCTGCCGGAGCCTCCAGGCCTATGCAGCTGCCTGCCAGGCTGCTGGAGCCCAGATCGGGACATGGAGATCCACCTCCTTCTGCCGTGAGTCTCCAGCCTGTTCCCCGCACTCCCCACTTCATTGCTTTGCTTTCGCTGTCCTTAAAGTGGGCTGGGGGTTCAGAACCAGATACCAGGGAAAGGCAAGAGGAATGCTTGTCCCCACAGGGTCGGCACCAGGGGTTGACCTTGGGTCCCCTCGAGCTACAGGAGGTTGGGTAGCAGTAGAGAGTGTCTCAGCTAGCCACTAAGAACCATGATGACATGACCGGACTGGGCAGAGGCTCAGGGTGAGGGGGTGTGAGGGGATACCCATGTCCCTGAGCTCTGCATCTCATAGATATCACCTCCAGCCCTCAGCTGCCCAAGCAGAAGCCACTACAACCTCTGCACCCACTCCTGCCACCTTACTTGCGCCAGCCTGGTCAGCCTGCCCCCGTGCACAGGGAAGTGCTTCGAAGGCTGCCAGTGTGAAGCAGGGACACTGTTCGATGGGGAGAAGTGCATGTTTCCGGAGGGCTGTGGCTGTTTCCATGGCAGAAGATATATTCAGGTATGTGCACAGGGGCTGTCCTGGCTGGTCCCAGCACAAGGGAGAGGCAGGGAGTATCCTTCCTCTGGGCACGGGGCAGCGGATGATTCCAAAGCAGTGCCTCAGGGCAGTGCCATGATTTTCCCCATGTCCCACATGGAGTCTGGGACCCCGCTAGAAACTTAGCTCTGAACACCCTCCAGATTTTCTGAACAATGAGGCCTCTGGCCAAGGGAGCCTGTGGCCTGGGTGACTTGCTGCTGGAGGTGGGGACCTTTCAGGGATCCAGGTGGAACATGTGAAGGGCTTCAGCCAGAAAAGACATAGGGGGAAACTTTGAAAAGCACCACAACACTTTAGACAGGTGGCTTTGGTCCTCTTGGAAACCCTGACATTTTTCTTCTTCACCTTTTTTTTCCAGTGAAGCCCTTGACATTTTTGTTTCAAAGCCTTTTTTAAATATTATTTACTCAACCTTAAGCAAAGAAAAATGGCTTTTGAAAAGGTAACGTGACTCAGAAATGAAAGCAGGCTGGATGGAGATGCTTCTTGGTAGACTAACTAAATAATGTATATAGAGAGGGCTGAAGTGAGACGTACAGAGAGCTTCAGGCCACAAAAGCTTGTGCTCTCTCTCTCTCTATGCATCTCATTTAGCTGGTCTGTGAAGGTGCATTTCTACCTGCCTCCTGAATAACTACAGTCTAACGAGCGAACAACCTTTCTCACAAATAAAACACAACTTCTTCTTTTGGTGTTGATCCAAAATTAAATGATTTTTTTTTTTGGTCGTTTCCCTTTGATACAGCCTAAAATTGTCTTTTCCCTTTAGGTCTCAGTTTGGCTGCCGAACACACCTGCCTTGTGTTTGCACTGCTCTGCTGTGAGTTGCTTGGTGTCCTCACCCCAGTGATGCCTCTCTTTCCTCTCCCCACAGTCCCTGGACACAGTCCTATCGGCCAACTGCTCAGAGGCCTGTACCTGCTACAACAGGGCCATACTTCTCTGCGAGAGCATGGCCTGCGCACCGGGAGAGACCTGTGCCATGGAGAATGGCGTGCGTGCCTGCCGGAAGGGAGCTGCTCTGGCACCATGAGCCTGTTCTAGCCAGGAGAGCAGCATCACCTCTACTAGTCTCTCCATGACTGCCTACTGCTTCCCCTCCTGCTCCTGCTCCTGCCTGTGCCTTTGCCCTCTGGAGTGACACCCCACATTGTACCAACCCTCAGCAAAGCTGCAATTGGGGCTGGCTGCTTGCCACACGGAAAGGTCTTGTCTCCAGGGTTTTGACCCTTTGTGCAAACAGCAGATGCCTCCTGCACTCATTCAGGGGTGGTGGTTTGGCCCTGCTAATATTGACTCAGCTTTGCTTCCTTAGGAGAATAAACAGGAGGGTCAAAGCCACTCAGCTTCTCTGGAAAGAGGCAAAGTTGAGCAAGTTTTTCCTTGGTATTGCCCTTACAGAAGGGGCATGTCTGGGGGAGGGAAGGAGGCGGAGGTGGCTGGAAGGGTGAGGTGCATGAGGATGCAGCCCAGACCATTCAGGGGGGTCTCAGAAACACACCTTTGTCAGGGAGCTGGCAGAGAGGTGCCTGCAGAGATCCTGGCCTTTCCACATGCCCTCTGATGCCTCATGCTCCTTGGATCTGAGACCAGGTCTGTAACAGCTTTCTAGATTCAGGGGCAGCATCATGTCCCGCAGCCATCACCTCCACCCCCTGCATGGTTCTGCTGGGATTTGGGGAACCTTTAGATTAGGGAACCAGTGGGTTGTGAGAGACAGACAGCTCAAGAGCCAGGAGATCCACTCCACACACGTAGGTTTATTTAGCAGCTAAGTGCACATGCTCATAGCTAGCAATGCACTAGTCGCTGCCAGTGAGTCCTGCTCCCCATCCTACTGACCAGGCAGTCCAGGGTCTGGTTTGGACATTCAGGGCTGTGGTTTCATCATCCAGCAGTTCAAGGCCTCTATGTTCCCAAACTGTTGTATGCCTTTTGGTCTTTGTCCATGTAACCCTTCTGCCAGGCATCAGTTGGCAGCAACAAGAGCCCAGTTCACCTTGGGGGGAGAGCAGGGGGGTTGTTACACAAACTTATTATCTTAGCTAGAGCCCCCATGCAGGAACCTTGGGAAATCATTTCTGCCTGGGTGTTCCCATGTGAGCAAACTGCCCCACTCCCAAGCAACAGCAAACTATAAGGGGATTTGTTAAAGGGGGAAAGGGCCAGACAGATGGAAGAGCCTGCAGTCATCAATCAGTGCCCCCTCAACTCACTGCTAACAGTAGGTTCGGGGTTCTTGCTCTGTCCCAGGCAGTGTGCACGGTGCGGTCTGTAGAGCTAGTGCAGCTCCTAGCCCAAGGTTTCCCTTGTCTCCCTGCCGCTGGGCCCTGCTCCGCTGTTGTTCTTTGTTGCAGCCAACCATTGCTGGAGCAGTTCTAGATGCAGGCTCAGCTCTTTCAGGATCTGGGAAATGCAGGCTCCTACCTGACCTGCCAGCACCCTACCGTACAAGCTCTTTAGGACCCAGTGGGTAACAGGCTCAGACTGGACCCACTCAAGGAATCCATATATCACCAGCTCTCAGCCCTCTCTGGTTGCGTGGTAAAATGCAATGCCATCCCAATCTGGAGCCCCCCCTTATGCTGCCTGAGCTGGGGATCCCCTCCTCTTAGAGTTGCACAAGTCATGGTGAGCCCTAACCTCTCAGCTTCATTCACTCAACTTTCTGTTACTGTATCAACCCCCTTAGGAACTTTATAGTGTTAGAAGGCAAGGCCAGAGCACCCAAACCTGACTGCCCTGGCCTTTTATATTCAAAATGTTAAAAGCAGTTTGAACATCAACGAACTGGAAGATGGGATGGGTTACACCCTCAGCAAATTTGCAGATGACATCAAGCTGCGGGGAGGAGTAGATATGCTGCAGGGCAGGGCTAGGATTCAGAGTGACCTAGACACATTGGAGGGTTGGGTCAAAAGAAATCTCGTGAGGTTCAACAAGGATAAGTGCAAACTCCTGCACTTAGGACAAGACATCCCGTGCACCAGTGCAGGCTGAGGGCTGACTGACTAAGCAGCTCTTCGGAAAAGGACCTGGGGGTGACTGGACAAGAAGCTGAATATGAGCCAACGGTGTGACCTTGTGGCAAAGAAGGCTAATGAAGGCTAAGAAGACAACCAACTGATTGTCTACTGTTTACGTGCTGTTGCATTGGTAGGAATGTTGCTAGCAGATGGAGGGAAGTGAGTCTTCCCCTTTATTCAGCACTGGTGAGGCCACATAACTGGACGTCCCATGTCCAGTTATGAGCCCCCCACTAAAGAAAGGATGTGGACAAGGTGGAGAGTCCAGCAGAGAGCAACAGAGATGGTTCAGGGGCTGGGGGCATGACTTGTAAGGAGAGGCTGACCCCTCCAGGCCCCGTGTTCTCACATTTAGCCACAGTTCTCCTTGAACAGCCAAGCCAGGAACAAGGAGTCCTGGCTCCCACTCTTATTCCCCCTGCTCACGTCTGACTGGGGCACTTGTCCAGAAGAGTGTCCCGCAGCTTGGAAGAATCGTACTTGATAAAGGACCACCTTGAGACAAGGAAAACTTGTGTGCATGCCACCCCTCCCACCCACACGCTGCTACTGTAGTTCTCTTGGTTTGCCTCGAGGATTGCAGCCCAGCTGCAGAGGTGGGCACAAAGCAGAAGCTTCACTTTGGAGTACTGGGGGTGGGGGACAGGAGCAGGCTCAGATGTAGTTTCTCTCACTCCTATGTCAGTCACCCTTGTCTTCGTAGTCCAGACTGTGCACGGCCTTGATGGAGGACAACTTGCCAGAACTTGGGATCCATGTGATGGCAACGGGGAGACCAATGTTTTCTATGGAATCCTGCATCTCTTGAGCATTTGCTGCTGCCACAGTGAGGTGGTCTCCTTTCTCTAGTGTGGCCTTCAGCCTCTCCAGTTCCTTTTGGGTTATATGGGGAAAGGCTTCAGGATTTAAAGCAGGGGTGGGCAAAATATGGCCTCATGGGCCAGATCCAGCCTGCCAGCTGATTGGATCCAGCCTGCAGGCTGGCACCCACCAACTAATTGTATCCAGCCCCGCCAGTTGCTGCCCCTGCTGAGCTCACATAGGGCTGAGTCCCACCTGTGCCTGCCTGGGGCAGCAGCAGACACAGCTTCCAGGCAGGCTGCTGCTGCCGCTGCCCAGGGAACTGCTGGGTTCCCAGCCTCCAACGACTCCTTCTTCTGGCCCTGCTGCAGCGCTGGGAGCAGCAGGGAGGGAGGCGAAGTTCCAGCATTGAGGGGAGTGGGGTGGGCTCTGCCTGCACCTTGGTTTGGTCCTGCTCAAGTATGGCTGGGCAGGGGAGCATGTGGATGGTGGTGGGGGACATGAAGGAGCTTGGATACTCACGAAGCCTGGCTGGACAAGCACGGAACTGCAGGTGAGGTAGGTGCAGCAGCAGCAGCAGTAGCAGAAGCCAGCACTGGCTTGGCTGTAGCCCTCAGGGCAGGTGTGGGACAGAGACCAAGAGAGCTGAAGAGGCCAGGTGCAGCTGACCAGTTGGCAGCCTAGCATGGCTAAACTGTGCTTTGGGCCGGGCAAGACATGCAGACAGACCCACACAGACAGACACAAACAGCATCCAGCAGAGAAGTGGAGGGGAAGGGGCAGGGGGCAGAGGGAAGGGGCAGGGGTGGGGGGTGCTGACCACTTTAGGCTGGGACTGTCTGCACCCTGCTCAGTGCCGCCTTTTCCCTGGGAGTCACGTGATGCCAGCATGCCTCCTGTTGCCCACTGGGTGGGCAGGGGAAGCAAGGTGCACACTGGTGTTGTGTGGTTCCCAGGGAAAAGGCAACAGGGTGCCGAGATCCCCATCCCAGAGCAGGCAGCCCGCCTCTGCCCCATGCACAAATCAAGAGGGCACATGTCCCCGCACACCTCCCCCGGGGGTGCACGCTGCAGCAGGAAGCCACATCCCTGCCCCTCTGGACAAGCCACCTGCAGGGCACAGGGACCCCAGGGCCCCATTCACTGTCTCCAGAAGCCATGTGCTGGCCATGTGGCACCTCCACTGCCCACCTGGTGGGGAGCAGGAGGCACACACGCCATCATGTGGCTCCTGGGACAAAGGCAGCAGGGCAAAGAGCCCAACATGTGAGCAGCCCACCTCTGCCCCACACACAATTTTGGGGGGCACATGCCCCCCATGCCTCCCCTGGGGGTGTGCACTGTGGTGGGGAGCCACCCCCCCCATTCTCTGGACAAGCTGCCTGCTGCTCTGTCACACGACCTGCCCCAGCCCCGGGGCCCCTTCACCCCAGCCCCTGCCCCACTCCCTCCCTCACTGTGGGGGCCTTGATCTTCCCCCCTTCCGTCTCCCCCCAGCCCCTTTGCCTCAGGGGTGGGCAAAAGGAAAGGATCCCAGACAGGAGTCACTCCCTGGATGTTTTCAATGAACTCTTCAGATTAAAAGTGCTTCTGAGTACAGTGCTCTGTACTGGGTCTACGTGACACTACGCTATAGTACTATAGTAAAAACACCCCCCCCACACCAGCCCCCCCAGAGCCTACCATTGATATAGGGCAGGACCTACCTGATCTGGGGTTCCTTGGCAACCTGAAGAAGACAAGCAGAAACCCCTGGCAGGACAGAGGAGTGATGGATACCCACAGTGGTGTGGGGGAATGACAGAGACCCTCCCCCCATGGAGCAACAGAGATCCCCGGTGCTGTGCAGGAGCAGCAGAGACCCCCAGGAGAGCAACAGAGACCCCTAGGCAAAGTGGTGGAGACCCCCAGGGGCATGGAGTGGCAGAGACTCCATGGCACCATGGAGGAGCAGTGGAGACCCGCCAGCAGTGTGGAGGAATGGCAGAAACTCCCAGTGGAGTAACAGAGACACCCAGTGGCATGGAGTGGTGGACACCCTCTTTGGAACAACGGACACCCCCAGCAGAGCAAGGGACCCCAGTGGAGCAACTCAGACCCCTCTGGCACCATGAAGGAGCAGCAAAGACCCCCCCCCCCCCAAGTGACATGGATTACCAGAGACCCCCAGCATGGCAACAAATACCCCCAGTGGAGCAATGGAGACCACCTGGCACCATGGAGGAGCAGTGGAGACCCCCCAGCAGCTGGAAGAGTGGCAGAGACCCACAGCGGAGACCCCCAGCGCAGCAAGAAAGACCCCTGGAGGTGGCATCCACAGCAGCATTTCCTAGCAACGAAACACTCTCCAGCATCAAGGCATAGTAACTCCTGCGTGGCCCTCACTAGCCAGCTCTTGCCACTTTGGCTATCATAGGTGGCAGAAGCCCAGGAGAAGGCAGCAAGCCTTGCAAAGAGGAGGACACGGACCAGTGGCATGAAGCTGCAGCAAAGTACCTTTAGATTGGATATCTAGAAAAACTTCTTCACTCTGAGAACGGTGAGGCAGTGGAACAGACACCCAGGGAAGCTGTGGACTCTCCATCACTGGAGGTGTCAAAAAGAGGACAGCTACTGGTCAGGGATGATTTAAGTATAGCTATGTCTACTTGTGTTAGGGTATTTTTAAGCCTTTTCAGAGGCACTGAGTGCTGCTACAGCTGGGGACTTGAACTGGGGTGTGCCATCTCTCCAGCTAGGAGCAAAGCCAGAGGTCTTGCCCTTTGTTCAGAGTCAGACCCATCACCATATTTGGGGTCAGGGAGGAATTTTTCCCCATGGTTAGACTGGCATATGGACTGTGGGGGTTTCTGCCTTCCTCTGTAGTGGGGGTGTGGCCTCTACCCAGGAATCTCTGGAGTGTGTACATTATATAGACAGATGGACTAAGCCCTTTTTATATATATATAAAAAGGGCTTAGTCCATCTGTCCGTCTGCCCGTAACGCTCTTTAAATGTGAATAGCTTGAAAACTGTAAGAGATTGAACATTTGTGTCTTCAGAGAAATGTCTTTGCTAAACCTTAGCATTTGTTTAGTGACCCTGTCAGGATGATCACAGCTTCCAGAATTGGGGAAAATGTCAGGGGCCAGGGCTGTTTCTACTGAGCTCCTCCTGGGAGCCCAGCACAGTGGGGAAAGTAAAGGGAGGGGCCAGCTGAGGACAAGCAGGAGCCGGGCAGAGGCACGAGGCAGTGGTTCGCCTTGGCTCAGCTGACTCAGGGAGACCACTATTTGTGCTTCAGACTTAGGGAAGCACCCCAAGTTCTGGAAGTGGTTCAAGTAGCCTCAAGGACTGCTAGGCCTGTGTTTCCCAGAGGGCACAGGTCCCCAGTCAGTCCAGACTCTGGGTGGTGGCAGTGGAAACCCCAGGCTAGCGGGTGTGCTCCAGCAAGGGGGTCGGCCGGACGGGACGCACCCCAGGGAGGCACTCGGAGCCTGGAAGGTGGTCGGGCGCAGGGAGGTGGGTGACTCAATGCAGGAGCGCCCCCTACTGGCCCGCCACACAAGGCACCCAGGAAGAGGCTACCCCAGCCTCTGGAGGCTGCCTCCCCAGGTACATACTGAAAGATTAAATCACGGCAGATGAGCGATAGGAGTGAGGGGAGACCAGGGAGCATGGGCAGGCAGGTCTGACCACTTGGGGACACCAGACAGATTGCCTGAGCCTGTCACAGTCTGTCACCAACACTAACCCTCCCCATTACTCACTGCACAGCTCTGTTGCCCGCTTCCACGTTACACTAGACCATCTGGGTCCCTTGTGTATGCCTGTTCATCATGGGTCTCACCCCATCCTTCTCCAAAGTCACACCATTGCTGTAGCCGGACAGAAAGGGAATTTCTCTTTCCAGAGCCATGGAGAGAACCCAGGTGTCCCAGCTCCCCACTTCCCCAATCCCCAGATCCCACTCTCTCTCAAACCAGGGGTGGGGGGGGAGAAGCCAAGAGTCCCCACTCTTGGTTTCAACCACCAGACTCCACTCCCCTCCCAGGACTGGAGATGGGACTCAGAGCCCTGACTGGCCATGTTACTCTGGGTCAAGGACATACGGATTAAATGAGCCTCCGTTGGGGCAGGGGCTGGCTCTTGCAGTGGGTGTGTGCAGCCCCTGGCACAATGGACTTCCAATCTCACTTGGTTCTGACCTCTTAAAAGGTCATCCCCCGCTTTCCAACTGGTCATTGTTTTCAAGAGTCAAAGGATCCTTGCCCTGTACAGGGGCTTCCAGCCCCTGTGACTTTAAGAGACCAAAAAGGTAGCGTAACAGGGCTGCAATCAGAGGGAGGGTGGAGCAAAGCAAAGCAGCAGAAGGAAAAGAAATACATGAGCTGCCAGGCCAAAGATAATGGCTGGGAGCAAGCTGCACCATGCGAGGGAATGCTGGGCAGCGCTCCAGACAGGTCATGACCGCAGGGCAGGGGGCAGGCTGCTAATTAGGCTAAGAAGAAATCCCTGTGCATGGTGAGAAACCTGGCACATCTACACGTTGCCATACAACGATGTTGTTACTGCGCCGTGCTTAAGCATCTTCCTTTTGGAAGTACTAAAACAAGGTGCAGTAATTACCCATACTGCACCATACAGGTGGCACACACTTAAACTTCCCCACTGCACCACCGAAGCAGTGCGGTATAAGCAGGGAGCGTGCCACTACTGCAGTGTAGCTAGTGATCACATGTAGACCCACGTGATTGGTATGTCACTGTAGGGTGACATGTAGATGAGCCCCCTGTACTCAGGGGGACATAAGCCCAGACCCTGAGCCAGGGCCGCCAGCTGGGATCCAACCTCTGGAGGAGAGGAGCTGCTAGCAGCACAGGCTGCTGGTGGATGCTGTGGGCCTAGGAGAGGCACCATGAAGGCCCACACTGCACTGTCCCAAATCAAATACCAGGGAGTTTCTCCAAGGTGAAACTTCCCTGCCCCCCCCAGTTTTTAGAGCCAGCAAGTTAAAACTTCCACCAATTCTTTTGTTTGAAAATGTCCAGGATAAAAAAATGTACATATATAAAAAAAAACAGGTCTACTCAGCCCCGAGCCCACCCTCAGCACCCAGCATGCTGCTGGCACCCTCCCAGGGTTTGCGGCTGTCAGCACATGATGCAGCCACAAGTGCAGGTGAGCTCACCACCTCACTGAGCTCTGCCACAAGGTGCTTGTGTTGGACCTTCAGGGCCCGGTAGAGAGAGTCTTTGCATGCCCTGTCCCAGCTGGGCATCAGGTCATACAGCCTGCGCATCTTGTCCTGGTTGGTGGCCCCAGCCCTGATTCTCTGGTACTGCTCCTCGTCCAAAACAGGTCCGTAGAGTTTGTCCAGGAGGGCATCCACCACCGTGACACGCTGGATCAGCTGCTCTCGGTGTCTGTCAATGAAATGTGGGTCTGCAGAGAAAGCAGGGGGAGGGGAGGTGGAGGGCACATGTGAAAATGCAGTGGGTTTGTTGCCAAAATATCTCTGCTTCTTATGTTCCCCTGGAGTCAGGGCTTAGGGGGTGGCAAGCCCCTGCTGGCAACCCATACTGTGCTCCCTGCCCTGTGCTTCCTGCCCGATCTTCAGCTCTGCTTTCTGCTCCCTGCCGTTTCTGCTGCTGTGCCCCTGTCCCCTCCCTGATCTTCCATATTCCAGCCCCAGAGGCTGCCCATGCTTGTGGCACCCCTTAGCTATGAGGTAGTGATGCCCCATGAGCCCCTACTGACCTGCCTGCTCCTCAGGTGATGAGCGGGCTCGCTGTATGTCCTCTGGAAGAGAGCAGAGAAGGGGGGAGGGTCAGAGCACAGGCAGGGGCATTCAATGCATGTTGATGCTTTGGAGGGCCATAAAGAAGCACGATTCCCTGTGCGTGCTGCTTTTCTGATGAGCCTCCCGTTGAAGGTGTGAAAGCCCTGATCTAGCCACATGCACTACTGTAACGTGGGGCGGGTGGGCAGGGTACATGTCCCAGGTATCACCCAAGGGAAGCAGTCAGAAGTGGGGGCAAGGATGACTTACCCCAGGGCCACTGCCTACCTTAGTGCTGTCTGCTTTCTGCTCCCTGTCCTATGACCCCTGCCCCAAACGTTGCACTGCTCAGCTCTCTGCTTCCTGCCCTGTAACCCTGCTCCATCATCTGCTGTGCTTTTTGCTCCCTGCCCTGTGCTCCCTGCCCCAATCTGCCACTCTGCTTTCTGCTCCCTACCCTGTGCTTCCTGCCCCATCTGTTGCACTGTTTTCTGATCCCTGCCCCATCCTCTCAGCGTCATCAGCTTCTCCGCTTTCTGCTCCTTTGCCCATCTGCCACTGTGCTGCCTACTCCATCATGAATCTGCCTTGTGCCAAACATAGAAGCAGACTGTGGCACTGGTGACATGTGTCATGGGTTGGCCACCCCTGATTTAGATGATGGCTAAATCAGGCCTGGAAACAGCACAGAGGCAGCTGGTTCACTCCTGTCCCCATTACTCACTGTGATGTTAAAAGCCCAGCCTCATGCCAAACAGAAGGTCGTTACTTGCCTTCACTGGTGAAAGAAAAGCATCCCACGGTTCCTACCTTCTCTCACCATGGCCTCCCAGAGAACTTCAGTGGAAGAAACTTCTGTGATATGGAGCTTGATGTTCATCTCCAGGTCCCTGATGTAGACTTCAACGAAGGGCTGCCTTCTCTCTTGAATTGGATAAGAGAACTTGAGTTTCTGAGGCAAAGACAAGAGCAGACTGTGAGGGAGGAGAAGCAGCCTGGCTGGTCTGGAAGCTCAATGAGGTCTTGAAAGCAACGACTGTAATCTCTTGCCTAATGCACACCTCCAAAAAAAAAATATAGACACCCATTTTTAGGAAGGCAATAGGTTGTAAAAAAAGACAGGCAAGGCTGACTGTGAGACAGAGTAAGACCTCCTGGAAACATAGGCTGTCCAGGAAGCATGGCATCCCAGGAGACACTTTGGGTGATGCAGGCAGGAGCTTCCTGGAGAGAATTTCTGGTTTAATGACAATGTTACAGTCCCTGAAGGGTGACACGAGAGAGGGTGGAGATGGGCTTTTCTCTGTGGCCACAGGAGCCAGGACTATGAGCAATGGTCTCAAGCTGCAGCAGAGAAAATTGAGGTTGGCAATGAGGAGGCACTTTCTGACCATGCAGGTGGTCCACCAGTGGAACAGGCTTCGTAGAGCAGCTGTGGAGTCTCCATCCCTGGAAGTTGCCAAGAGCAGGCTAGGCAGACACTTGGCTGGGGTGGTCAGTCAGGGACAATCCTGCCTTAGACAGGGGCTGGACTGGATGTGGTCTCCTGAGGTCCTGTCCAGCCCACGTTTCCTAGGAGCTCATGATCCCAAATGGCACCAGGATCTCAGCCCCCTCCCTGGAGCCCACCTGCCCTTCCTCACCCTCCAAAGCCCTTCCCAAGGCAAGTGAAGGCTTAGAAACCTCCATAGCAGTAAGGTGCACTGCTCACTTTGGGTAGTATCTCAGCCTTTGGAGAGCTGGCCACGGTGTAATTCCTGTCAATGTAGAGGGGGTTGTCAATCTGCGGAGGCTTGTCTAGAAGAACTGCGTTGTGCTTCTCCTCGTGCTCTTCCACAGCCTGTGAAGAGGTTTCCAAGCTCCATCACTTTGGTTAGATCAGTGATTCTCAACCTCTTCAGACTCCAGGCCCCGCTCTATGGGCTCCAGCCCCACCCCTGGAAAAATGTCAGCTCTTAGTTTTCACTTTCTTTGACTGCAGAAAAATATTAGAACAATTCTCTTGTTGCAATGGATTCAGAAAGAGCCCCCAGCAGGGCACGATACTTTGAACACTATGCAGTCCCACTTTGAAATCTCTGCAGCACTCTTTTATGAATCATATTTCCTCACATTGCACGACACATTGGGCACATCTTCACGTGCACCCTTAAGGCAATGTCAGGAAATTAACACCACATTAGTCGCCATATTTAAGGCACATTAAGGATGAGCCTTCATGTGCCCGTCCTTAATGAGTCTTAAATATGGCAATTTAGGGCAATCTGAAAGTAAATTTGATACCTGCATAAAGCATAAAGCAGGTATCAAATTTATGCTAGAGTAGTTAGGCGCTGTAAGCTGCATGTAGGTGCGGTATGGCCTTCTGTCAGCTGCGCCTGCCCAAGTCTGCCGGGCCACATGCTGCTGCCAAGCACCACCAGGAAGAATGGCAGCACAAGAAAAACCCATGACCAGGCTCAGCCCAAGGGAGCTGACACTGCCTCCTTCACCGGCAGTGTCTGGCAGGGAAGCAGGCAGCATCAGCTCCTTGGGGCTCAGCCCCAGCATGCTGGGAGCAGCACCAGTGGGAGAAAGTGGCACCCAGTGCTGGTGCCAGGCTGGGCACTGGGGTAGACCAAACCATTGGTGATGTGATTGGCCACTGCCGACACTACCAGCGGTGCCTGTGGGCTGTCACCACCTGCCACCTCCCCCCCGCTTGCCGCCGACACCACCAGCAGTGTCTGCAGGCGGTTGCTGATTGCCACTGGCTGTTGCTGGCCACTGGTCAGTGCTTGCCAACCCCACACTGCACCCCCGCTGCCAACACCACCACGGCCACCTGCGGGCAGTCACCGTGCCCCCATCCTCCGGGGGCACGCGTTGTTCATGGACCATACCCAGTCTGCCTGCTCTCTCATGGTGCGGGGGGAGCCACAGTGCCGGCTTCTAAGGGCGACTGAACCTGCCGCTCTCGTCTGCTGAGGACCGGCTTAGGGCCGCAGCCATGAGGGAGCCGTCCAGGGTGCTGACCAGGGCAGCCTGCAAAGCCCTTCACCCAGCAAGCCGCATTAAGGCGCCTTAAGACACTCATATGTAGACACCTGCCTAATGCGCCGTAAGGGGCATTGCCCGTACAGTGCATTAGGCTTAATTGCTGGTTAATGCAAGTGTAGATATGCCCAGTGTTCACCCCTGAACAGATTTCAAGGCACCCCAGTGTGCCATATCATCCTGTTGAGAATCACTGCATTAGGCATGGTACCCGTTTATCCTCATTGCTCTCCACTGTCCTTTCTCTGATGCCACAATGGGTCTAAATTATTTCCTCTCGTTTTCACCTGGGTTTTTTTGAGTTTTGAGCTAGCGGAACATTTTCCATTGGCACTTTTCTAGCCGGTGGAAAAATGGGTTTTCCTGCAGAAATGAAAGGTGTAGTACAAGGTATTATCTTTCATATATATATTTCTATATTTCTAAATCAAATTTTTCCTAAAGGACGAAGACCTAGAAAAAATTTCAGAGTGAGTGTGAGTGTACACTCCTTCTATAAAGTTACTTCACAAGAACAATAGTGAAAAAAATCATGTTTCCCATTTCTGCTAAGTGGGGAAAGAGACCTCACATTTCTCCTGGAATAAACCAACAGAACCAGGAAGGCAAGAGCAGTGAACATGGGTGGAGCTTAACAGCAAACTGATCAAAGAAGGGAGGGGATTTTACTATCTCTCTGAAGCATTAACATCCAAGTTATCCAACCATTATACCGAAGAACAAAGTGCAACTGTACAGACATGCATGTCCATGTTGCCCTGGGATAAATCCTAAAGATTCCCAGATAAGGAGCCAGGAACAGTCTATGCTGCCATATTCCCACGTACATCTATACAGTTATCCCAGGATTGCATCTTTGAATCCATGGCAGAAAAGTGGCAGCAGATTAACCCTCTCACTAAACCCTGATTAGGAGGCTGATGTGCATAGCAGCAGTCCGAGGAGATTTTTTTTGTTCCAGAATGAACAAAGGTATAACTAAGCACATTCATGAATGCTTGAAGAACTGAGGCTGGGTGACCTGGGCTATGATTCAGCTGCCCCTCTTACATGAACAAGTTGCTATTTGGCTATCCTTTTCCCAGGTTTAAGGGTGAACATACTACCTTTTTGCTGGGCACAGAGGAGAGAGCAGAAGCCTGATAAAAGAGAAAGACTAGCCAAGAAGAGAGAGGGAAACACAGAAAAGGAGGTGGGAGTGTTATTCTAGGTCCTTGGGGCTTCCACAAATACCTCTGGGTTGATTAGACAGGAGACACCAGATCCATTAAACAAGCAAGTGGGGAATGAAGAGGCCAAGAACATGACCAAAGCATTTCAGTAGTGTTAAGAGATGGAAGGTGGGTGTAGCAAGGCCTTGATCCTTCACGCTCCTGCCCAGAGCAGGTCTTGTCCTATAGAGCCCCGCTTTGCCATCAGGCTTTTTGCCATCTGGCCCAGCTACGCTCCCCTTCCTAGTAACACAGGCAGAGGTTTCCTGTTACAGGGGCCAAGGCTACAAGATGACTGTGATAGTTGAAGTAGGAAAATGGAGTTATGCTAAGGCTTTTTAGCCATAGTCCAGACCTTCCCAGAAGTAAGCAAAAAATTGAACAGAGAGCCCTCTGTGGCTCTGTGAGATGCGAGTGCTGCAATTGGTGTGCTAGGTGAGCAAGGCACTATAAGGAATGTGGCTGGCACAGTGCCACGGGATTGGTGCACCAGATAAGTAATGCATGGCACAAAGCCACTTGGACAATTTGGGATGAAAAAAGTTATAAAAGTTATGGAAAAATAAAAAGAACACGTGTTTGTAGCCTGTTGTGACCCTGGGAGGACAGACGTGGCTGCTGGGTCCCTGCTTGAACAGCGGGGAGCCAGAAACTAAGATCTTACACACCCAGTGGAGGACCCAAGGCCTGGTACCCCCAAAGGTTGCTGCTGGAATGTCCAAGGAGCCACTTGTCAGGTTGTATTATGGGGAGGAATCCTGTAATATTGCATAGGGATTACTATTAAAGTTCACTTGATAGCACATGGGACAAGTTGCCATGTCAATCCTTCAGGGTCTCTGGCAAAAAGAAATCCTACTGGTAACAATATTGGGCTTCCCTTTTGCACTGCCCTCAAGCCTGATGACTGGGCAAGCCAAGGCTACATACTATATTTTCTAGCATACCACACCCTAAATAAGACCCATGCCCTGTTTCTGAGAAGGCAGAAAAGAGAAAAGCATTTATCTCCAGAGTTATGGGTGCATATAGTATGGACAGATAATCATCTGCAGCCCATTCTCACTCCCTTTCCTGCTCAGGAATAAGCTACCGTTTTAACTTTTTCACACCAAACTGCCAGCAGATCTTGGCTGCTCAGCCAAAATCTGAAGCTGTGGCTGCTGCTGAAGACTGGATCCCCTGAGCAGACTGTGAAGAGTGCTAAAATCCAGTCTGCAGGGCTGTGAAATAGGAAGAGAGAGGTCAGGACAACAGAAAGCAAGATTTCCAAAGGGAAGAGCTTGATTTATGGAACATGAAAACCTAAAAAATAAAATAAAATAAAAAAGGAGAAACAGTCGTTAATGCCTGCTGAGTGAAAATCAATTAGCAGGAATGAAGGAGATGAGAATGAGCCATGACTTCATGGCACATTGAGTCCCTCAGCACTGCCTAGGTGGAAAGGCTGCTGCTGCTTTATGGGCAGAGACATTTTCTGATGAAGACAGAGCTGGTGGAGGATGTCTTGCATTTGAAAGCTGATCTAACTCTACTCCAATGATGCAGTTGGTCCAATAAAAGAGATAACCCTAAGGAAGCCATGCCCTGCATAAGACAAACAGCCCAATTTTGGGAGCCTAGTTCTTTGGTGAAAACATGCGTGTGGTGTGCAAATGAATATGGCCCTTTTCTCAACTCCAGAGTACACATCCCAGCATGCAGGGTCTGCTCTGTCCCCATCTTGCCCTTCTCTGTGCTGGGGGGTGAGGTTTTTCCACCAGAGCTACCTTTCTCAATCCCTGTCTGGACCACAGTTGCTGGCAGACCTGGTCTCTGGCTTCTCCCAAACACATGTCGCTTTGAATTCTCCTTTACCTTTTCTAATGAATCATCACAGGGAATCACGTAGACGTGGAAGGTTGTGGGGGCACTCATGGCAGCATGATACAGCAGCACCTTGGAGTGGACTGGAATATGCTTAAATAAATATCTGAAAACGAGGCCCAGGCAGGAGAAGCTGGGGTTCTCCAGCACAGCATAGAACGGCTTCACTCTCGTCGGCTTCTCCAGGGTCAGCTCCCCATTAACGATGTGAGCAACATACATGAGGGAAATGTCAACCTCTCCACCTGTCAACAGATTCAGATAATGGTCAAAAGAACCTTTAGCCAGTGTCAGGGATGACTGCTGCCTGCAATTCATGAGGACATGGGCAGGACTCATTGGCATATGGATTACCCTTACTTTCCCCACATATGACATGCCCCAGAATATAACACACACCTTATTTTTTAAATGCAGAATAAAGAAAAAAAAGTTGTTCAAGAGTTATGACTGCATAGGGCAGGGAGAGAGCTGAATCTTCAGTGCGCTCACCCTTCCCTTTCTGCTTAACTAAAGCTGGAAACCCTAGCTGCTGCTGCTCCAGGGTCTCCAGCAGTGGGCCTATTTCTTTATGCCTTTGACAAGAGCTAAAGAGTCATCAGGGCTCTGAAATATGAGAAGAAAAAACAGAATTGGCTAGTATCTAGCAAAATCACCCACAGAAAAGTTACCTTGATTAGTGGATGATGACCACCATTATCTGGGGCAGAAAATCAGCTTCCTTACTTGACACACACATGCCAATTTAGGGGGAAAAGGTTTTGTATGTCAGAAAATATGATAACTTATAAAAGATCTTCTCTTACGTATGCACACCATGATGTATATTCGGGGTTGGTTGGTGGGCTGTATCTGGGCACTGCATCTGGCTTGTGGGCTTTGCCATGGTCCTGCACCTAGATTTGAGCTCTGTGGGGCCAATGGCCAGTGGTGGGAGGCTGTGCCTATGGCCATACCAGGGCTGGATCAAAGCTGTGCCAAGGACAAAGGCAGGCAGCCAGGTCAGGGCAGTGATCCTACCTCAAACCCCAGCCAATGCTTCCAGCCCATGGCTCTGAAGCCTTGCCAACCTCTGCCTTACTCTATGGCTGTAGAAAACAGTCTTTGTGGGATGTATAAAAGTACGGGACCCTTGTGTCCAACACAACTCCAAAGTTCCAGCTAGCAGCTGGAACCAACTTCCAAGGGAGGTGGTGCTGGCCCCTACCCTGGGGATCTTTAAGAAGAGGCTGGATACTTACCTGGCTGGACTCATTTGAGTCCCGTTTTTGTTTTTGGGGGAGTGGTTTTTTTTTTTGGGTTGTTCTCCCGCCCTGGCGGGGGGTCGGGCTAGAAGATCTATTAGGTCCCTTCCGACCCTGAAACTATGAAACTATGAAACTCTGATTCCGGCCCCTATCTTCCACCTGTACCTTTGAGGCACACAATGTGCGGGAGGTAAATGGCTGCTATGGCCCCAGCTGGTTCCACCTGGATGTTGAACAAGGGGCTGGCGACCACCCATCCCTGCAGCTGATGTGGCTTCAGATGCCGCTCCCAGGAGTCCCATTGGTACTCAATGGCCACCAAAGCCCTCACCTCAAAGCCCAGCGATGTTTCAGAGCATCGGTATGAGCCTGCCCTGGAGAAATGAATCCTGAAGAGAAGGAGAAAGAAGAGCAGGGTCAAGTTATGCTGCTGGGAACCATCTCAACTCCTGCTTTTATTCAAAAGAGGTGACCACCCTTGGGTTCATCCTAGATCTCAAAAATACATGTCTACTGCATTGTCTGGCACGCAATCTTTCCCCTCCAGGATTAGTCCCCGTGTTCTGCCCCTGGTGTTTGGATCCCCAGGTGAGAAGTGTCTGGCATCCTGATGGCAGGAGCAGATCCACAGGAGTGCAGCAGCGTGGCCACACTGCCATCTCTCTGCAGTGATGGACATGTGCTGGTGGACTCATCTCCTGTAGCCCTGGAGGGCTGGGTGCCCTGTAGTGTCAGGAGAGCAGGGGAGAAAAGGGGACCCACATGCTACTGTCACCAGATGGTGTGAAGGTGGGGAAAGCCTCAGGATGTCTCCTGCCCACCTCCAACCAGGGACTGTGGGCAGCACCTCCACAGGACCCCTGGTCCCTGCTCCTCACCCACCTCTCCCATCCTGGCCAACTCTGTGGACAACTAGGGGAGGGACAGGAGGTAGGAGTGCCTGGAAGGGTAAGTATCACCCAATGAGGACACCATCCCCAGCCCTTCCCCACCATCAGCATAGCTACCATCAGCTAGGCAGTAGATAGGCAAGGAGAAGCTGGGACTTGGCACTCTGTGCAGCTGCTCCTCAGAGCCGTGCAGCTGTATCAGGACATGGGTAGTCCTGAGGCTCCCGTGCCCCCAGGTCAGTTGGAGACAGCAAGGGTAGTGCACAGATCTCTGCTTCCTCCACCCTGCGGCAGGCCCTGGAGGAGAGTGTGGAAGGGCTGGAGCACTGGAGTGAAGGGGTGAAGTTACTGGAGCTGCGCACAGGAGTCTACCTGCTTTGGGGACTCCAACAAGTCCCTGATTCGTGCTGCTGTGGCCCAGTCAGCCCACTCAGGGGGCAAAGGGCAGGGGGGAGAGGGGAGGTGGAGGCAGAGAAAGCAGGCACTGGTGGCATCTCCTGCAACCTCCTTTTCAAATTCCTGGATCCTCCTATGCCCAATGGCCAGGAGTCCCACTGTCTGCTTGCTCTATGCTGCCCTTCTTCCAATCCGGTGAAGAAAATCCAGATTCCTTGCTTGAGGCACATACCTCAAGCTTGTAGGGCTGATTTTGTGGGGAGGGGCAGTGGGTGTGGTGAGTGAGTAAATATGGCAGTAGCACTTTTCTTTTTCTGTTGTTTTCATGGAATCAAACAATCATGGAAGTTAAGTGCTGGAAGGGACTTTGAATGATTGAGTTCAACCCCCCTGCTCCGGGCAGGAATACTGCTGAGAACAAAGGATCCTAGCAAAGTGTCTGCCCAGTCTCCTCTTGAAGACTTCCAAGGTTGGGGAACCTCCTTGGGAAGCCTGTCCTCCATGGGAAGTCTATTCCAGCTTCTGGTCACCCTTACCGTAAGGAAGTTCTTCCTTACGTACAACCTGAAACCATCCTCTAACAGTTTATCGCCATTGCTCCTTGTCCTCCCTTGGGCTGCCGCAGTGAACAGTTTTTCTCCCAGTTCCTGATATTTACCCCTTAAATACTTACAGATGGCCACCAAGTCCCCCCTCAGCCTTCTCTTCCCCAGGCAGCACAATCCCAGATCCCTTAAGGTTCCTCATAAGGTTTGTCCTCCAGGCCTTGATCATTCATGTGGCCATTCTCTGGACCCTTTCAAGATTCTCCGTATCTTTTTTGAAGTGTGGCACCCAGAACTGGACACAGTACTCCAGATGGGGTCTCGCCAGTGCTGAGTAGAAAGGAAGTATCACTTTCTTAGCCCTGCTCATGATGTATTGGTGAATGCAATCCAGTATGCTATTAGATCTATTGACTATAGCATCACACTGGCAGCTCATGTTCATCCTGTGATCAACCATAACCCTGAGGTCCCTTTCAGCCATTATACTGGCCAGGACATCTTCTCTGTAATCTGTATTCATGTTGCTGGTTACTTTTCCCCAAATTAAGCACTCTCCATTTATTTTTATTGACCTGCATCCAGTCCTGCTTTGCCCACCTCTCCAGCTTATTGAGGTCTGCTTGGATCTGCCTCCTATCCCCGAGAGTGACCACTTTTCTCCATAACTTAGCATTATCTGAATACTTGGCCAGTGTGCTTTCCACATATTCATCTAAATCACTGATAAAGATGTTGAACAGTACAGGGCCAAGAACCGAAACCTGTGGGACACCACTGGCCACCTCCTGCCAAGGTTATACAGACCCATCCACTAACACTCTCTGGGTTCAGCCCTTAACCAGTTCCCAACCCATTTGAATATGGACTCTGCCAGCCCACAATCTCCCAGTTTTTTTTTATAAGAGCATCATGGGAGACCATATTGAAGACCTTTTTAAAATCCAAGCATATGACATCAACCACTTCTCCCCCATCTAAGCAGTTCATTATTTGATCATAGAAGGAGATGAGGTTGGTCAGACATGACCTGCCCGCAATGCTGCCTATCCTTCAGCATCAGGCCTTCTGCCAGTCTCTCACAAATGGACTTCTTGATAATTTTTCCCAAAATTTTACCTGGAACCAAGGTCAAACTGACCAGCCTATAGTTTCCCAGAGCCTCCCTCCCTGCCTTCTTAAGATTTGATTGTATCAATCATGTGTGCAACTGGGTGCCTTCCCAGGGCTGGTTAGAAGTTGGCCTGCCAACCTGTTTCTGGGCTAACCACCCACTTCTCTCTCCTGCCACACCTTGGTGGAAAATGATTAAAATATTACTCAGGCAGGAGGCTTCCCTTTTCTGCCCCAATGCCAGGGGGTGCTATCTGCAACTCTGAACCTCCCCTACACCGCAGCCTGTGCCTCACAGATGGCATCTAATCTCTTAACGTCTCCGGCCCCACACTGGGTCCCATAACCCTCTAGTCTGGACCTCAACTAGATCCCTCCTAATCAGGCAACCTACTCTGGCCTCATTCTGGCTGCCAAGCTGCCTGCACTCTTCTCCCTCTCGGGTGTGGCCCCCCCAGGACCTTTGGCCACACAGGCCCTGGCCTCACCTCCAAGGCCAGTCAGAAGCCCAGACTGTCAGCCCTGGGCGTCCCTCATGGTGGGCCCCTGGCCCTTTTGACCCTTTTTGTCCTGGCCCCAGCACTGACCAGTCGAGGGTGCCTCAAGTTAGGCTTCTGAGCAACCAGCCCACACACTCCTACATGGGTCCACCTTCTTGAGCCCTACAATGGGGTTACCCACCCACTTGTGGGGGCTGGGGTTATCAGGGCACCCCAGCCCACCTTTCACCAGGGTGGTAAGTGGCCTGGCATTTCTTGGGGGGGCTGTCCCACCACGAACAGCCCCACCAGGCCACTCATGCCTGGCAGGGTGCAGTTTTAGGTCATGCCCAGGACCAGGAGCCTCCAAACCATCCCCATAAGCTCCTGCCCTTACCTCCAAGCTGCTCCTGAGCAGCAGCTCCACCAGCTGATGTCTCTCTCACAGCTGCCAGCAACAAACTGCTGCTTCACCCTATATATATCCTGGGTTTTGAAATGGCTTCTGTATTCAAGCACCTGGCTACTGCATGCTCCAGCCCTTAAAGTGGCTGGCACCAACAGTGCCCTGCCACAATGTGTGTCCTTAGAAAGAGGAATAGGGCATGGGGTTAGACACTCAGGGCAGCAGGCAACCCAGCTCTCACCTGTATGTATGCTGATAACTCCTTGGACCTGGAACAATATCTGGCTTTACTTCTAAAAGATCCTGAAACATAGGAACAAGCATTAACTTGGCCCCACAGGACTGTGGGGATTTTGCATGGATGAAAATGGATGGAAAAACAGAGGAGGGGGCTTTGGGACAGATAGAATGGGTATAGAGAGATGAATGATAGTCAGAGAGAGAGGGGGCATATGGAGACTGATGGGTAAAAAACATACAGTTCTCACCTCCTCTGTCTGACAAAACTGGCACGTGTGTTTTCTCCGCTGACCTGTAGTGGAACCTGCTCCAGGTACTTCCTTTTCTCCCACTGCAGAGGAGAGAAAAAGACTTCATGGAGCACAGCCCAAGGGGAATTATTTCTTCTCCTGCGCCATTGCTCTTTGTGCTGGGGAACAGGGCGGGATGTAGACATGTGGGAAATGGGGATGTCTAAAACTTCAGGTTACCATATTTCCTTGCACACAACGCACTTTTTCTCCCAAACCCGGCTCCTGAAATTTCAGTGTGTAAGACTGTAATAAAGATTAAAAACCCAGAGGGGCGCTTACCTGGGGCTAGACATGCACGGGGCTGGTGCGAGACCCTTCTGAGCTGCAAGTAAAGTAGGGGCATAGCCTTCTTTTTCCTGGTGCCTGGAGGAGACAAGAGAGAGTCTGAGAAGGAAGTGGCAGAGTGGAGCTAGCTGTTTTGGAGCCACAGGGTGCTAGGCAGGGGAGGAATCTGCCTCCCCAAACCAGGAGCATACCTGGAGGGACTGGGGCAAGAGAAATCTATAATCTCCTTCTCATCCCAGGGGTCTTCACCACTGCAGGGGAAGCCCTGCACTGCCCTACCAGAGAAGCCAGGTAGCACAGCCAGAGCCAAGTATCTGTGGGGTGACACTAAAGGAGTACTTGCCCTTTGCCCCGTAGCATAGCAGTGCGGGGAGAGGAGAATGGGGCCCCAGGGCAGCTCCCAGGAAGCTGACACCACATGGCTGCCTTCAAGGTGCAGAGCATGGAGGCAGGGGAGACTCCCTTTCCCCTCCCTACCTGGCTTGCCATGCTTGCAATGGTTCCCACCCCCAGGCACTGTTTGAGCTCGCTACGCCTCTGCTCCATGACATCCCCCAGCTTCAGCATCTGCTCCCTTCCTGTAGTCATTCATGGCCCCGCCTGTCCCTGGGGTCCCATGTCCCCCCTTTCTCCCACTCCTGCCTTGTGAGTGTGATGAATTAAGTGAAGTCTGAGGGGAGACTTCATGACCTTCCCACCCTCATTTGCTCTGATCCTCTGATTGTATCTAGACACAATGCTGGAGCAGGACTGGGACGGCAAGAGGAGTCAGGGAGTGGGAAAGGCTTTGACCTCCATCACAGGCAAGGGGCAGATCCTTCAAGGTGAGCTCGGGGTTGGCCCCTTCCAGAGGACATGTACCCTCCAGCTCTCAGACAAGGGGGGAATTCGTTTCTTCCCGGCCTGGTAGAGATGGTCCTTCTGCCCGGTGTCCCAGCTGGGCACCAGCTCATACCGCCCCTGAATCCTCCTCTGGTTGGCCCTGCATGATGCCCCAGTAGCGGTTCTGGTCCAGCAGACCTTGGCACAGGTGTAAACAGCCTGTGTGCACAAAGGAGGATCCTTGGTTCAGCCACTCCTGATGCTGATTGACAAAAGGTTCCCCTGAGAGAAAGAGACATTGAGAAAATTTCCTTTCCTTTGGAGTGGCCAAGCCAGGTAGCAGCGTGACCCTCAGGGGCAACTCTGGGGGCTTTTATTTTATCTGTACAAGTACAAGAGAAGGCAAAACAAGGTCTTCCGAATGATACACCTCTTTATTGGTATAGCCTATGGGGTAACACGACCCAGAGCAGCTACATGCAGCAGAGAATACACAGACAGACCCTTGTTCTTTCCTGGGGTTGCCATATTAGCATGCAGAGTCACCCTTGGCCTCTTTATCTCATTTCCCTTGAAACTGCCCCTCACCATCTGCTGCTCTCAGATGCTGATTGTTGTGATTGAGGCTGAGCTGCTGCTGGGATCAGAGGATCTGTAGAGGAATGTGCGGAGATGCCCAGCACAGAAATGAGGGGTGAGCGGTGTTCGGGACTCTCCAGGAGAGTGGCTGGAACAAAGTTGCCAGGGGGAGCTCCAGAAACAACTTCACCTCGGGGTAACCAATTTATTCCCAACACCCGTCTCTCTCCCTGGGCAGCTGGCTCTTCTCTCTGCATTGGGACATCCCAACAGGCCAGTGGAAGCCAGATCAGGTCGTGGCACCTTGTGGTCCTGCCCCACTCTTCCGGGGTGAATTGAAGCCCAGAGTCACAGCAAGGGTAGAGTCCTGAAGGAGACAGGGCTAGAATTGTTCCCCGTCCTTGCCTGGTGCAGATGAAAAGAGAAGGGTATAGGGGGATAGCCATGGAGCAGCAGGTGAAGATGAATGGCCATGCTGTTACACCAAGGCACCCAGATCAAGACTGCAGCCTGACACGTGGTCTTTACTCCATGGGTATCAACGACCATCTCTCCTGTTTAATGGCCTTGATGTTGCGCTAATCAAGCTAGCCTTTCTTACAGCAATTTTGCTCCCTGCTAGCTGCTCCTGGCCTCCTATTTCACAGCTCGTTAGCTCTTTTCAAAATGAGAAATTCACCCATGGAGACCAGTCTTCAGCAGCAGCTAGGGTTGTAGTTAAGCAGGAAAGGGAGGGTTAGCCAGCAGAAGCCGAGATTCTGCCCCTACTTCCTGCAGCCATCGCTGTAGAAAAAAGGGAAGTGCCTTTCCAAAATAAGGTGTTGATTATATCCAGGGGCATGTTGTATGTCAGAAAATATGGTATTTTTCTTCTTCTTTTTTTTTTAATCCCAGCGACCTGCCAGAAATACCAGCGAGACAGAGAGGGAGAAGAGCAAAGCTGACCTCACAGGGCTGGAAATGCATAAGTGTCTATGAAGCAGGATTCTTCTTGGGCCATGTTATTACAGGCCTGGGGTGAGTGACCCCCAAAGGGAACAGGCTGTCACCTCCCTTCAGTGCATTAATGCAATACCAGGCACACACAGCAAAGGCAGGGCCCAGTCCTGGCCCTAACACCGAACAGCCTTTGGCAGCCGAGTCATGATCTCCACTGAGCAGACATTCACCCCCTGGGGTGCTCTGAGATCTTTCCAAGAGTACGGTGGAGTGCTGCACCATGTGGGCAGTGTCAGACGTTCAACCAGGATTCATACAATACAACCAAGGATTTCAGTTAGAAATTTGTGGTGTTAGGAACATTCTGCTCTTTTTGGTCCTTCTCAGTCCTTTATGACAGAAAAAAACAGCTCAAGTGTTTTCCTGTACTCAAAAAAGGACTGGAAGTGAAGAGATGGTATTTTCCAGGTGTCTAAAAGGGGGCATGGACTCTAACACGGTTGCGAACCACTGCCAGGCAGTGAGGGTAGAGGGATGGCAGTGCCTTGTCTCGTCTGCTCTGTGCCCCGAGGCCATCTCCATGCAAACCTCAGCTTAGAGTTTCTGTTTGCAGAGATAGAGGAGGGTTGTGGCCAGAGCAAACCCAGGGAGAAGGTTGTGTGGAGGAGAAGGGAAGAGAGTGGAAGTGAAACCAGAGGGAAAATAGGAAGACAGAAGTGTTTGAAGTGCCAGGCACCGTCCTGAGGAATCTTTCCCCGAGGCTCCCCTACTGACTCGGGATTTCCTGCACAAGTTGGACCCACCCTTGCCTGGGCTGCTTTAGTTTGGGGTGAGATCCTGCCTTGAGTAGGGCACTGAATTAATGCTGAGGTCCCTGCCACTCCGACTTGCCTATGGTTTTGGCAAGAGCAGGGACAGAGGGGAACTGAGACCAGACACCAGAGCATGAGCAGCACGGCCAGGGATTGTAACAATCCCCGAAGACAGCTGGATTTCAACACAAAGAGCCTGGCACAGGCATGGACACAATGGAAGCAAGAATTCAGTTTGTAGACAGTTAACCATGGCTGATAAAGAAGAGAAAATGAAGGTAAAGCTGTTTTACTATCTAATGGGGGAAAAAGGTCGTGAAGCAAGTGCGAGACTGATGCCAGGGAACCCGGACACACTAGAACAGTTAATAGCAGCGTTTGATGGATACTGTGACCCCAGGACAAATGAGCCTGTAGAGAGATATCAGTTTTTCACCCAAAACCAAGAGAAAGAGGAAGGAACAGAGGTCTATATCACAGTGCTGAAAACTCTGGCATCCTCATGCAACTTTAGAAACATAAAAGACTCCCTAATCAGGGATAGGATTGTGCGTGGCACACAGGACTGCCCTAAGGGACAGACTACTAAGAGAGGTAGATGTAACCCTGGAAAAGTGTCACGAAATTGCAAGGGCAGCAGAGTTGTCGAAACAAAGGATGAAAATGATATCAACAGTCACATGTACAGAGCAGGTTCACAGGCTCAACCTAAGGTCTCCGGAAAGCAGGAACCTGCAAAGGCCAACAATATCATTCAGTGCATGTACTGTGGGAATCTACATGAAAGGCGGAAGGACAGATGCCCGGCCTAAGGAAAAGAATGCAAAAAATGTGGAAAAAAGAATCATTTCAGGGATCAGTGTCATAGCCATCCAAATAGAAAAAAACCCATCCATGCAGTGATGAGAGATCAGGAGACTACAGATGAGGAGGAAGCTTTCAGTGTAAATGTGACAGATTCACAGACTCACAGGATACACACATTACAGAAAATAGTGGGCAACGATGCAGCCATTTTTGCAACTGTGATGCTAGAGCAAAGACCTATAAGAGTCCAGGTGGACTGTGGAGCCACTTGCAGTGTCCTTCCTGTGAATCTTTTGGAAAAATGTCACCAAGTGCTGTTAATGTATAACAAAACAACTGTGAGGCCACTGGGAAAGTGCGGGCTGACTATAAGAAATCCACGCAACAAGAAACAATACAGCCTGGAATTTATAGTGATTGACAGGGCGGACACCCACCCACTGCTGGGCAGCCAGGCAGCACGGGCCATGGATTTAATTAGAGTGCAACACCACAGCATCCTCCAGGTCACACAAGAGCAAGAACGGTCATTAGGTTCACTACCTAACCTTCTGTTAAGATATGGAGGCATATTCCAGGGCACTGGACTCTTGGCAGACAAACTGAAGTTAGAAATAGATCCACAAGTGCAACCGGTACGACTACCAAAACGCAGAGTTCTGCTGCCCTGCTGGAGCCGCTGAAGAAAGATTGACAAACCTGCAGAAAAAGGCATCATCACACCAGCTGAAAAAAGTACTGACTGCATCAGCAGCCCAGTAGTAGTAAGGAAGCCGTCAGGCAAGCTGAGAATCTGCATTGATCTGAAACCACTTAACAGGGCACTCAAAAGAAGCCACTACTCACTGCCAACGATTGAGGATGTACTACGTGGCCTGTCTAGGGCAAAAGTGTTCCCAGTTTGCATTGTCAAGAATGGATTTTGGCATGTGGAGCTACACGAATCTTCCTGCCACCTGATAACCTTTAGTGCACCCTTTGGCAGGTATCACTGGTTAAGGATGCCCATGGGGATCAGTCCAGCTCCAGAAGTTTTCCAGTGGAAGCTGAACCAGGAGCTGGAAGGTCTTGCGGGTATCAAGATTGTGGCTGATGATATTCTTGTCATAGGAGAAGGGGATGATAAGGAAGAGGTGATCAGTGACCATGACGCCAAACTGCAACAACTCCTTAATACATGCCGGGAGAGGATCATTAAACTGAATGCTGACAAAATACAGCTGAGAAGAACAGAAGTACCCTACATTGGACATCTGCTGACTTCGGAAGGACTATGATCAGACCCAGAGAAGGTGAGAGCCATTATGGAGATGCCCAAGGCACAAGATGTCAAAGGAGTCCAGCGCCTTATTGGGATGGTTAACTCTTTGTCCAAATTTTGTGCACACTTGTCTAATGCTTGTGAACCACTCCGGTTGCTAACACACAATGATGCAGCCTGGGAATGGGCACAGAGCCAAGAGGAGGCATTCAAAAGAATTAAAAAGTCATCATCAAGGCCCCAACACTGAAGTACTACAACACAGCTGAGCAACTAGTACTACAGTGTGAAGCATCAGAAGGAGGTGTCGGAGCAGTACTGATGCAGAACCAGCAGCCTGGAGCTTTTGGTAGTAGAGCAATGACGGAAACAGAAAGGAGACACAGGAAACAGACTTGGAGCAGAGCGGGGGGGCAGCAAAGACACAAGTCGCAGGGCTCAAGTGCCTATATACTAATGCTAGGAGCATGGGGAACAAGCAGGATGAACTAGCGCTCCTGCTTGCACTAAACACCTATGACTTAGTGGGGCTAACGGAAACCTGGTGGGATTCATCCCACGACTGGGCAGTACATATTGAGGGCTATAGATTGTACAGAAAGGACAGGGTGGGGAAGAAAGGGGGAGGGGTTGCGCTCTCTGTCAGTGAGCAATATACGTCAACCCTCATCAAGACAGAATCCAAGGATGAGAAAGTAGAAGGATTGTGGGTTAGGCTACATGGGGGGCAAGGAGAAAGGGATTTGGTGGGAGGGGTCTGCTACAGACCCC